GTGTGACATTTTTTCCGTCGAGGTAAAGTTTGCTGATTTATTGCTAGTGTTAATGTTAACCTAAAGGGCTGAAAAAAATCACAGCATCCTAGATGTATCTAAAGTTTGTTATTTCGTCGAAATTTTGGCCAGAAACAGTGCGGAACATACCTTTTGAAAATCAATAATAAAACACCTACGTACATATGTATGTACACATGAATATGTAATTGCGTTAACTAAATTTTTCGTTGCTTTGTACTCGACTATCCTTATTTGTTTAGGCACGATTTTTTATATTAAAGGAAAAACTATTCCAACCTACCCTCAGTACCCGGAGAATTTATTATAACTCTAAATAAATATGTACACATGTAACGAATTCCTAACGATCTTACTAACAAGTGTAGATATATATGTACTCGTATATAACAATTTCATTGCAAGCCAATTCAAACATTCTAATGCTTTCTCCCCTTAATTATTTATACTTAACTCTTTGTAACCGTGTATTCTACTCCAACACAAATAATTTAGATAATGACCAATCGCATTTGGTTAAATTCACTTGTAAATTTAAAAGCAGCTTATACGTATGCACAAATTAAACATTGACACTCAGCACGAAATCGAGTTACTAGAAAAATGTATTAATAATCCCAAAGTAATTCTAAAAGTTATGAGCATTGGTATTGTAAAATTTAGTTATACAAATATGTATTGTTTAATTTGAAATTTAATTTAAGTGTCGAGCGTGCATGTTGCTAGTTGCTACCGATGAATATTTAGAAAAAATACAAATAAATTCATGTGCTTAATTAATTTACAGAATCTGCATACGCATATCGTGCAACATTTTCAGCGGCATCATACATAATGATACTGACGATGGAGGTATCCCAACGTATGCTCACAGATTTTGACCAAACTTGTGTCAATCGATCACAAATTAAATTAATACGAAATTTTCAAATGGCACTATCTGCAAATGCGCAGGTTTGGCGGAGATACATATATGCATTTGAAGAGGAGAAAATGCGCAGTAAAGGTGGAAAGTCAAGAATAAAATTTTTAAGCGTGAGGGCGCGTGTTATTTCTTTATGCAAATATCTTCGCCAAACATGACCATTGGCAGATGCATCATTCACTGGGCTGGTGAGACTGAAAATGAATGCCTACGTATGTACATATATGATTCCTTAATCACATCCCTCACGCTAAGCCCTTTGGTTTCACTATATGTAGAAAGAAATATGTACTAATTTCACCCTTCCTTATTTCCGAGTAGGGATGAAGCCACCCGAGCCAGAAAAAACTCCGATTTTCACCCTCCCTGCTTTTCAGCTGGTATTTGTATCCATACGCAGACTTTCATCCCAGCCTTATGCGCATATGTAGAGATCCATGTACGAATAGCAAAAATCATCCGCATCTCATCTCCAAGTTTCTGAAGAAGTGTATTTAAATTCCACTATATAAGCATATAAATATATAATACATATGTAGCATTAGATTCCCCACGATTTATGTACTCATAGCTGGGCATACCCTCCGTGTCCAACGCCGTCCACTGTAAGAATTATTTTCACCGTCCGTGGGCAAAGGGTCAGTGCCACTGATTGTGCCGAAGGTGGATAAGTGTCACTCGTACACTCTTAGAAATCCAGTATTAAAATAATACCAAGCGGTATTCATATATATATTTATTTATGACTACCAAAGTGGTGTTGACACTTAATTCGGTGTAGTAATAACTCGGTATTAACGTTTTACCGTATCTGTTTATCCATTTTTTACGGACAAGTATAAATGTAATACCACGCGGTATCAAGTTTAATACAGAGACAAACAATAACTCCATGACTAAATACATACATAAATACATACATATACCATATTTCTAGAAGTGTAGTGAAACGATATGAGATATCGTCGTACTAATTCCGAAACCACATAAGTGCACTCGATGGTTAATTCCGAATCCACATAAGTGCACTCAATGCTTAATTCCGAAATAACGTAAGTGCACTCGAAGCTTAATTCCGAAATCACATAAGTGCACAGAAAAAATTATTGAAAAGACATAAGTGCAATTTTAATACCTGGTACTCGCAAAAGAACTGTTACAAGATTTCCCGGGTAAATTAAGTAGACAAAACAATTTTTTAGAAAGTTGTAGTATTTTTTATTGAGATCTCCATGCATTTGACTATCAGAAACCATGCTTCGAAAATTTTTGTGACCCAAGGTACCAAATTGATAGACTGGTGAAACCGACATGTTGCGATTTTTTGGCAACATTTTGTTAAACAAAAAAATTCCTCATTTTTCAATTGATCAATAAAAATCGGAACTGATTGCAAGATGACCGACCGTACGATCCACTGACACTGGTAGTGTTGATGAGTGAAACAAAAGTGGAAAGGAACAATCAAAAAGGCCATAAAAAATCATAAAGCTGCGGAAAACCTGAATTCGTCCGAATTCATGCCGCACCCTAAGCAAAATTTCCCTGCAAGTAAACGGGTTAAGAAAAACTATGTCCCTAGCCCTTAAACTAAACACTGGACTTATGTCTTTAAGACGTGAGGAGAAATACTTGCCAACCGCACGTCAAGTAAAAATAGACACATAAGAAACCAAGCGCTGATCGTGCGGTACGCGCTTGAAAAATGAAAATAAATATCTTGAAAAGATGAGGAAACTTTCACCATTGAGGTCATATCAAATAATCAAAAGCACTATGTCTACACCCCACTAGTCCATATTATTCACCCAAATTTCAAAAATAATAATTGGACCCACCATCCTGCTTCTGCGATTCTTTTATTGAGATGTGGTCGGAAAAGTGATTTTTCTTCCTCTGAGGGTGAAATTTAAGGTCAAAAAATATTTTTTGAAGCTATCGATCGAATTGGGGTACTAATGAGCCACTCTCGACTCAAAAATAGCCAGTAGTCATTTAAGGACGGCCCAAGTCTTATTCATGAAGCCAAAATAGTAAATTGGTGATTAAAGTCCAAAATTCCCGACTCCATTTCGGACCAAGAATAAAATCATCATCGCAGAACCTCAACCTTCTGGAATATGATATGTGGTCCAAACTGAAGCTAGATACATGTGCTAAACCCTACACAACTTTGGAGTCCGGCAAAAAATCTAGCCTTTAGAAATGACACCAATATCCCTTTGAACGCATGCGTACCGCGATCGCGAAGTTGACACCAAGACTCTTGGCTCGTGTCGCCTAATGAAATTGAAATTTTTAAAGGTGAATAATGTTTTCTACACAGAATTTCATTGGCTTTTCAGTGATGTACCTATTTTTTCAAAATTCGACAAACTGTGATTGCTACAATGAGTTTTTCTTGTAACAGTTCTTTTGCGAGTACTACGTATTAATTAGTCAATGATTTGTGTGTAAATATGCCCATGATTTTAAATGTGATTACTTGCCCTTTCCAATTATATTGAAATGTTTAAATAAATCTTACACTGGTGCTGAAAATCATACTCAAACTTTTTATGGAAATACATATTCTTATTAAATTATCATTGGAAAAAGTTTTTGAATATGCATGGTAATATATTATACATTTGTTGCATAAAATTGTAATAAATTTTTTATTACACGAACAAGTTAACCGGGGCATGATAAGATGTGTTTCAGGCGGAGTTATCAGTCAAGTCGTCTGTGGTCTTGAAATAATTTATAAAAATTCGCATATTTTTGCTTGTATTTTTATATAGTATGTACGTATAGTATGTATGTACAGTATGTAACTTATTTACTGATACAGATTTAATGATATTATATGACACGCATTTTCTATATATCGACATGATTTCATAATTTAAAAATGAAATATACGAAAATATACTGAAATATACGCTTGCATACAGACAGGCTGGATATGCAAACGTATATCTCAGTTTTCGAATTTTCGACGCGATGGCAATTTTAGACCTCAAACCTGTTTTTGGCGAAAAATTTCTGTGGGCGTCAAAAAAATCGTACACGGTCCGACATAAGCTCATTTTAAAAAATATTGCAAAGTTAAAAAAAATTATCCACAAAGGTTTTTTTCTACCCCTCAAATTTTGTCAGAAAAATAATCTTGACCTTTGACCTGTCTGTGACATTACAAATCGACGAGGAGAAAATTTACCGTGGATAACTTCTAGATTTTTGGACGGAGTTTTAAATTTTTAAATTGCGAAATCATGTCGATATGTATAAAGAAAATGCGATCGTATCATTAAATAAGTTACAAACTGTGCATATGTCGGAGAATATATAAATGTAAATATAGCGAACTTATATTTATTTGGAGAGTAAATTAAGTTAAAAATTAAGTTAAAACTTCCTTAATTTAATTCGTAGCAACCTCGTGAAATTTACTTTAGCATATAAACGTGATAGTAAGTCTATGTAAGAATCATTGTCACCAGTACATATGTATGTGCGTTCAGTTTGTATGAAGATCTTGGACAAATAATAAATTCATTTTTGGAATTGCAGTTATGTCTTTTCAATAGTTTTTTCTGTGCACTTATGTGATTTCGGAATTAAGCATCGGGTGCACTTATGTTATTTCGGAATTAAGCATTGAGTGCACTTATGTGAATTCGGAATTAACCATCAAGTGCACTTATGTGGTTTCGGAATTAGTACGACGATATGTATATATGTTAACACTAACAAGGGGACCTTTTTCAAGCTACACTAGGATTTTCTAGTGAGTTCAAAAATCAAGCCAAAAATAGGAATCACGTTACCCTTATCTTTCCCTTGAAGGACCCCTTTGAATAAGAATACTAGCGGCAAAGTTTAATTTTCGGGTTAAATTTCTCACCCTTTTTCCTCCACCGGGTGAAAACCAAGGCGGAAGCGTGACCTTTACCGCCAATACTTTTCTTTACAGAGTCATTCAACGGAAAGATAAGCGTCACTTGATTTCTAACGTTTAGCTTGATTTTTTGATATAACTCGTTAAAAAATCCTGGCATAGCTTGAAAAATGGTTCAATTGTAGGCAAAAAGAACCATGTCATGCGAAATTCCTCCATTGACCTCCACCGACCCTGCAGGGCCCGGCTGGCTGAGTTACTGCTCCTTAACCGGATGTGTCTTGCTGTTAATAACTTTGATTCTTGTTACTCTCATTTCCCGGAGAAGTGTCCATATCTTGAACAATTTTGCACACCGGATCGAATGGGAGTATGACACGTGGGAAAGAAGTGTGACGTTTGACACCTTGCGGAGCGCCGGATTTGACGAGGAGGTCAGCATCTTTCTTACGTACCTGTTCAAATTCATTCATTCAACTGGGGACGAGTAAATTACTCATTCATTCCATAAATTTATGAAAATGAATAAATGTAGCTTGAATAAATTAATCCTTGTTCGCCGGATTTAGCGAGAAGGTCATAACTCTTCATATTCATTTGTTTAATACAGAAGGAATAAATTATTCATTCATTCATTAATCAATAAATTAGTGAATAATTTAGACAAATTCAAAGTGTCTCAATATATCTAATGTATACCTTACATGAATTTTGAATGAAGCAATATTTTTTGAACAGGTCACCTTTCTTCAAAGCGAGGTCATCGGGCCCTTCATTAATCGTGACATTTACGCCATCACGGGGACAAAACGTGTCCATGGGCTTTTGTTCCATGGAGATTTGGCGAATGCGATACGTTTCGCGACCGCGATTTGGAACGAGATGCGCCTTCAGGGTGAAAGTGGGGAGGTGACGATTTTTCGGAAAACGAAGTGCACCCTGGACCCTAGCGGGGAAGCTGAGACAAATTATTTGGACTGGTTGTTCAAAGTGGGGGTAGAAAATCAGCCCGCCATCATTTATCTGAATAAGGTCAACACCCTGCTTGATGGGTGGAGTGGGTGTAAGTAAACTCTAAATAAAACTCAAAATTCCGTAAAATTGACTCAAGGTTGCTTCAAAATCAGACAACTTTGGATCAAATTTAAGTTTGGGTGAATGTGGTAACTTTTACCCAATTAGTTTTATTATAGTGTCATTGGAAATTTTATTCGACACAAAGTTGCACTTAAGAGGAATTTTTAGAGTGTAGATTCCATTTCAAGAGAAAATGCGTGTGATTTATGCATGCGAAATGTGATTATTTTTATTTCTCGTTTTGTACGATAAGATTTTATTTATTCGAGAGGTTTTTTGTGTTACATGCATATGCATCATTGCATACTAAATATTTGCATATACTTTTAAGAATAATATTACTCTTTTCAAAAGTATGTACACTCTGTATTTCATATTAAGTAAACTGTATATTCCAATTTGGAATTTCAAAATCTAAAGTAAGGTTAACATGATTAAGAGCAAAACTTATTATTAAAACATATAGATTTTGTATATGTAGTATGCTTAATATAGAAATTCTATGATAGAATCATGACTGGGTTTACATTTCAAAAGGGTAACGTTATTTTTAAGGGTGTTCATATTTACAACCAATATCGTATCGTTGCTCAGCAACATGCTTAAAAAAAACTCAAATTTCAGACACAATTTCGAAACATTTGCACCAATCCATGGAAAAGGTGAGATTTGACGGAGTCCTTGTGATCGCGAGTGTGCCCCACTTGGAGGACAAATACAATTACACGGAAAGGGCCGGATTTTCGAACGTGCTTCACATCCCGAAATTACTTTCACTTCCGGAGAGAAGGGAAGTTTTGGCGGGATGTGTCTCCACCTGGATCCGAAAACCGAAGCCGGATATTTTGGACGTTATGGCCAACAAGACGGGGGTATTTCTCCGGGGAAAGTTTGACATTGAGGAGAAAATTGGGAACGTTTGCCAGTTCGCGTATAAAAATGGGGTGGAGGAGTGGAAGAAAAAGAGGGGGGTTACAGGGGATGGATTAAAAATAAGGATGGAAGAGGTTAATCCGTCTCTTCAAAATTGGGAGGATGCTTTAGCCACAATTTTGAAAAATGATGAAAATCAAAAAATAGAATGATAAAAATTTTAAAAAGTCAGTAAAAATGAATACAAAATAAATGCCCCGAAGAAGGGTTCGAACCCACAAGGCTCAAAAATAATTTATTCTCATCCCCTTGCATGGGAAAACTGATCTTTGACTAAATGAGCTGGCTTGTGAGTTCACCTCAACTTGTTTTGTTCGTGAGCTCAACTCACCTCAACTCATTTAAGGCAAGCTCAGCTCACCTCATTACTCAGCTAACGTGAGTTGAGGTGAGTTTAGCTCACCGGCAACACTAATCAGTCATAATTTAGGGTATTAAGGTGTACAGATGCTGAGTTCTGTTCTTTGAGTGAAATAAAATCAGAAAAATTCGTTTGAATTTAAACAGTTATGTGTGTATTTTGTCAATTAATACAATGTTGGAAACACGGCAGGCATTTCAAGTTTAATAGATTTTCGACAGATCTATAATTAAATAGATTTTTATAAAGTTCTTGGTTTCACCCGTTCGTTGCATGCAGCCGCTCGACGGTTTATTTATTTACAAAATGAAGACCCCACCAGTTCGCATGCTCCATTCTATCGGGAGTAATTTCGTTAATGGATTTCGTGAAGTTGATAGTCAGTTATTTAGCAAGTCGCCAGTGTACGCAAGATTGGTGACCAATGGTCTAAAAAGCTTTCTCCCGGGTAATGATATACACAAAAATATAAAACATTTAAATGATTAATTTCGTAACTCAGCTTACTGTAAGCTGCTTACATTAAGTAAGCATATATTGATTCCAAACTTATTTTAATTAAATTATTTTACTAACACTTAATGCGTCGCAGTTCTAGCATGAATGATAAGCAGAAATTATGAAATGTGGAAAACATGATTTCGTAAAACATGAAACACATTTTCAGTCAAATACGTCTACACTTGCGTTTCTTGTTAGAAAATCATATCAAAATTTTGAATTCCACTTATTAAGTGGATGGAAAAATGAAGAAAATTTATAGTGGCGGATATCGAACCGGGAGCAACAAAAACCAGGTATTTAGGTATGCGTAACCACTATCTATATTTTCAGAGCTATGCTCTAATACATATCCCCTCTCTCCCTCCTCAGAACAAACATTGAATAGCTGAAACTCCGAATCTAAGGTTCTATTTCAGGATAGTTGAAAGTCGTTGGCAGCAGGTCGCAACTTAGAACAATGTCATAATTAATCCAAGTGGTATCAAGAACTCAACTTCTGATAAACTATAGGGTGTAATTTTTTTTCTGTAACACTTATTTTTCAGCCCCCGCTAGAGACAAAGTCTGCTATAATTATTGATCCCATTAATATTTTTCTCTGAAATTTCTACCATGTGTGGAACAAAAATGCAGGCGGTAATTACGAGCATCGTTGCATTGAGATGAGGATGAGGGTTCGGATTAAAAATTCATGTCGACTATATTTAAATCGCCATGACGTTTTTATGACCTAATTGGATATAGTGAAACTTTCTGTTTGGAAGTTTATGGTATGAATTAGGTCATAGCGATTAAAACATAGTAGAAATAAATTTTTAAGGTCACTAAACCGTTCAGTGTTGAAGTTAATGTTGATAGGACAATTTTACGTCAGTACATTGTTGATGTTTTGGATCCGTTTTTCAGTAGCTCTAACGAGGAAAACGGATCCAGGGAGGAGTTTAAGTGGTATTAGTTGTGCTGCGTGTTTAGGACACCCGAAATTTCAAACCAAACCAACGTTCGAAAAATGAGCATATAGCCTATAGCAAAGGGTTGAGGGCATGACTTAAATCATGCCCTCAACCCTTTGGTACAAAATAATATCAAGGTATCCCTGAGAAAATATTTGCTTGGGTCACACTGGGACCTTTAAAAAATAAGCATTTTCTTTTTACAGAGAAAAACGTTACCGGATTAAATTTGCACCCAATAAACAAAAGTAGCTCAATGAAGATGATTTAAAACTTTGGAGAAGGTACAAATACATTACATAGCTACTTAAGTATGATAGTTGCTTTCCTACTAAAAAATGGAGTTCGTTCTATACTATTTCATGTGCATTTTAAGCAATAGTTTGAGTCTGACAAAACTGTTGGACTGTAACTTGTATCACAAATGGACTGATGATGATCCGGATGCCACAAAACTTTACAATTTCCATGCCTATCATGGAGATAAATTTTCAATGTTATTTACCTGGACACAAATTAATAGATTGGTGATTTCTGAAAATAATTTGTCACAGACGTTTTGGCCTGGTCTGATCATTAACATGTGTTGCAATTCACATTCATCAGCCAGTCTACTACCCAACTTATCCGCATTATGACTGGAAGGATTTCTTCCTCTTTTACTATTACTTGAGTAGACCTGACGCTATATTTATGTTCTGGATGAAAACAGATCTCGAGCAATATTACAGATTTTGGAGAGCACTCCCATGTAGATTTTACGTCGCCCGATGGGATGGGGGGATATTCAATTATGATCCAGGCAGTAACCTATACACCGAGACGGGAGATGATATAGAAATTCATATGCACTCCAAACTAAAGCGTCCTTACGATACCTATAACCACCACGGTTTGGATGTTACATTATTGGATAGAGATTGGAGCGGAAATTGTGTTCACAATCTCAAATTTAGGGCAAGTGTACCACTGTGTCTAACTTACGCTTACGAATTGGAAATCATGGCATTTCGCCTAAATTTTACGGTTATTGTTAATAGAGTTTATGATAATTTGGACGATGCCCCTGCAATCTACATTAAGCCATATCTTGCACTGGTTATCGACTACGCTGTTGATCGGATTCAATCCCTGACTTATTCTGAGGAAAAGGTTCCAATTGTATTCTATTGTAGAAAACATAACATATTTCCAAACACTTGGACTGTGTGGTTGACTCCATTTAATTCGAAGGTGTGGGTAACACTCGTAGCACTCCTTTCGGTATCCTCCGTTCGAAAGATGGGTAGTGCCTTTGACGCAAAACTTGTACTCTTCGAGATGTACATCCTCTTTTCTTTTATACTGCGACAACCTGTAAAATGTTTTACTGTCCTTGACACCTTGATAATTCTATCCTTTATCATTGTTCCGATCATTTACGAGTCCATTGTGGTTGGATACGTAATTGCGCCACCAAAACTCACAGAATATCATAATGTCGCCGAATTTCTGGAAGTGTTTGATAAACTAATTGTCACCTCTGTGACAGACTATGTAGACCAAAGGGTGTTACATTACGAGTTTGTGAAATTCAATATTACGGGTAAATATGAAAATGCAATTGAAATCATGTACAAAACAGACATTCAACTTGGCAATATAACAAATTTCTTGAAAGATGCAAGAGAGCAAGTAGGAGTTCTAGGATATGTGCTATCGAGTATGATTAGCAAAGGTAAATTTGCGTATGACCAATCAAACACAAGTGTCGCTTATCCCTGCAACTTCTTTGTTCTGGAGCAGATGTGCATGTCCTATAACTTGTTTCGTGTCCCCTTTTTGAAAGAAGCTTGTTTACTGCATACCGTATTTGGGGAGTCTGGGTTTTTCACTCTATGGGAGGACTTAATGTGGACTAACGAAACTACCCAAATTATGAAAAATCAAACCAACCTCCCGGAGTTTAGTAATTTTGTTACATTGCTACATTTGGAAAAGATTATTGCAACGTGGGCAATTTCAAGTGGAATGTGTGTTTTTGTACTAATATTTGAGGTTGGATATGCAAGTAGATGCACAATTCTAAAGACGTATACCTTGATTAAATTAAAAATCCGGATTGCACATATTAGGATTATGAGCCTTTGTGTTTATTATTCTCATAAAGCTAAGACGATGTGTTAATTTAATTTAACGCTACAAAATATTGTTTCATTATATCGAGACATATAATACATATAAATATGAATTACTCAACTATTTGTAACTACTGAAACTCTGTGAGTATATTAATTTACTTATTATACATACATAAGTAAAACCGCTTTAATTCCAATACAAATTAATTTCCAAACATACATCCTGGATATGGGTATACAGAGGTTGTCCCATTCCTCTGTGTCAAGATTCAAAAATTTTTCTAGCCTGCAACAGAGATTTTTTTAAATGGGAACCTGCATGTTGGATATGACAGCCCTTCCTTCTTCTTAGCTCTAAGAATCAATAGTTTCTTACCAGACAAAAAAACTTCTAGGGATTTTTCTAGGGTGTCTTTTTCCACTTACTATTTTAAGCATTCCTGGGTACGTCAGAAGGTATAAATCTCCAATGTCAAAGTCGTTGTCCCTCGATGAAAAATTCGAAGAATTTCAAACCGCCAATTTCGGATGACTTAACACGAAGGTCTTGTTAAGTTGTTCTTTACTTTCAAACCAATTGAGATAATGAAAATCTGATAATTTCGTTGGATTTCTTCTGCAAGTGTGCATTATGTACATATGTACAGTATGTAACTTCAATATAGCTATGATTTTTTCCTCACATTTAAATTCAATTTCCTCAAGAAATGATCATTTGGAAATTGTGTTTATACCATTGACTACATTGTGGCAAAGTTTTAAGGAATAGAGTTAAAATTGTTAAATCTATGAAAATTTGAATGCCAAAATCTTGTGATATGTGTTAAATATGTCACATAACTATGCATACTTAGGATTAGCTCGGATATATAACATTTGCAAGTTTGCTTATAGTTTTGAGCATAGAGTAGAATTTCGTAAGGAAAAACAATTTTATAGTTAGTTCTAGTACAAATAAAAGTAATTTGACGAATTAAAAAAATAACTTGCCAAGAAAACCGTCCTTACTACCAAACATGCTGGAAAAGTAATTTCCCTCTATAAATAAAGCCTGAAATTCAGGAAAACTTTGTAAGCAATTTAACATACACAATGGGTGTAATCAAAGGATAGTCCAAGAACAATTACAGAAAATTACTGAAAATTTGTTTTTATTTATCTTATCAAAATAAATAACAACTTTCGTTCAAGTTGCCTACGTTCCTTTGGGTTTATTTGAAGTAACCGCGACCAGACCATATCCGCACGCCGCAATTAAAGTTACACCCATTAACGCCAACATAATTCTGATCACCGACCAGGCTCCACCCTCCTCTTCTTTTGGTCTGTCTCTTCTCGCAGATGGAATAATACCGTCTCTACTCGCATGTATACTATAATTACAGAAATTCCTGATCATCATCATTAATTCCCCATTGGAAAAAGTATAAGCTAATTTGTAGTCAGATTTTTTACCTATGAACTCTCATTTCGTAATTATTGGCCTCGTAGGTCTGCGTAAACATAAAAATATAAGTTAATAGATAATTTTTTTGATTGACAGACAGTTTGGCGAAAGCTGTTTTTGAGAAAATAAATTTTCGCCAAAATGGTAAAATAAAATATCATAAAAGTACTGGATGGCGAGTTTCCTATGAGTTTCCAAGCTCATATAATCGGCATTTTCGCCTACTGTGACATTTTTTTCGCCAAATGGTACTTTAAAAACCTTGTGCTACATACAAATGCCTTAGAATGAGTGAAAATTCTTTTTCGCAAAATGGGATTTTGCGAATTTTTTTCGCAAAAAGGGTTTTCGCCAAACTGTCAGACTTCCATTTTTTTCCTCAAATGTCCCCACGGATTCCTTGCCCACAAGGTACAAATGTCTGAAATACACCTTGCATGCATACGTACATACCTGGACAAAAAAGATATCATGATTATCCGAAAGATCCCCCGTAGCAGCCGAAATTCCGAAGTAATATCCCGTCGGCAGTTCGATGCCATCAACTTGGGCGCAAATGTCAAAAAGCCCCTTTCCATCAACATCCCTAAGTATTGTGACCATGTCGTTGTCATATCGCACCAGGATTTGTGTAACATTCTTATTCCGAACTTTTACCGAACATCCCCCCAAATTCTGACTACCACCGTCATCATCATGATTATATTTCTGGCTTCCATTATTCACAATGATCGATATGTAAGGATGTTCGTGGCTGTCGTGTTGCTCACTCCTGGATGACCCCGACTGAAATAAATGGTTTCCGTACGTATCTATGAATACGCCAAGACCGGAGAAATAGTCCTTCGATCCGAACACGGGCCCGGGAATCATCCGTTCTTTAACATACCAGAAAGCTATTCCATCTCCGGCCTGATTAACTGCCCCTTTCCCGTGAATTTTAAAATTAATGTGGACCCCCCAGCTTCGCATGTCGACCCGTTTGTTATTCCAGATTGCCTAGGAAATACGCACCGTTTTAGGTATCTCACGATACTTTAGTTCATTAGGTTAGTCAGAAAATATTTAAGTTATTCACCCCTTGCTGAGATTTTAAATCTGGAGTGAGTCGAATATATTCTGGCGTTATTACAGCCGCCCCGAAGCCGTCCCAATGTCCAAGGTCAGTGTAGGGTTTGAATAGAGAATGCTGCTCTCGATGGGCACTTTCCTTATAGTCCATAGAAAAAAATTGGGCCAAGGTGTACGAGAGTGAGAATGTTAGCACAAATGCAATGAGCACTAGTTTTGTGAGAATTTCGCTGCATTCCAGCATCTTAATTTAGTCAGAATTGATACAAATTTGACTACCGATGACAATGTTTAGGCATGAGTGAATTCAGTGTGACAAGCGAAAGTTATAAATACAGTCAGGCTACGTCTGCATGATCAGGGACATATGTTGGTTGGAATGCAGAGATAACGATGACACGGCAAACAATTAATCAGCCAGACGGATTATTATCATTTTTTGATATTAAACCTTCCCTGCATTCATACCTGTATGTATGTATAGCTGCGTGTGTAGATATATACACATCTGTACTGGACTGCATTACGGTCTGGATGAAGTGTTAATTTGCTCCGTTGAATAATTATTCCTGTTAGGTTAACATGCTTACTAGCCTATAAGGGAAGGTCCATAAATTATGTCACGCGAGAGGGGGGAAGGGGTCCAAGGCTCCAATGATACCGTGCCTATGTGACACATATTAAAGGGGAGGGGGGGGTCTAGAAAATCCCGATTTTTGCGTGACATAATTTATGGATGGCCCCTACGCCCGTCGACACTCCTCATTTGTTCGTGAACCGAAAATAAAGTACATATGTACGTGTTTAATTTGCACAAATTTTTACGCTTTCCTGCCAAGTGGACACTGCTTGTGCAATGCATGCAAAATGCCTCGAGTTGGAGCCAGGTAACATTTTTCATGCATGGTCCCCAGATTTGCGCAAATTCAAGGAGATAACTTATCATGGTCTGAATTGTGTAATAATTCACACATTCCTCAAATCAATTCAACTCATTTCACTCACATACGAGCAAAACTATTAATTTCCACCACTTTTCTCTTCTCAACAAATAATTAACTTACATAATCACCATGGAGGCTGCCCCAGATTTTCTTGACACGGTTACCTCCTACGAATCTTTCCTGGGCCGTGGTGCATTTGGATTTGTGTTAAAAGCAAAACATAAAGACGGAACTTACTCCTGTATAAAATTCATCTATCCGACGGACAACGACAAACTAAAACGTCAAACTGAAAGAGAAACAAGTCTAACAAGAAAGCTGGAGGACTATAGGCACATTGTCACCGTTAAGAATTCAGTCTGTAAGAAATATTTGAATCCAGTTCAACTTGAAGGTATTTTTAGCCCTTGTAAAAAAATTGTTGAGGCCGGATGGCAGGACACACCCGAAAAAATAAAACAACTCGGATGGACTTGTATCCAGATGGAGCTCTGTGGTGAAAACCTGGACTCCTGGCTGCGCGACCCGGAAACCACGATGACCTCAATATTCATCCAAGCTAAACAAGTCGAAATAATTTTACATCTATTTTACGGATTAAAATTTCTACACGAGAAGCAAATCATTCATCGCGACTTGAAGCCCGCGAACGTCATGTTCGCTTCGGATAAATACAAACTTCCCGTAAAAATTGGAGATTTCGGGCAATCTCGCACCGCTCACGGTCACAACGACCCGACCCTGACCTCAAGCGGCATCGGAACACCAGCCTACAGAGCGCCAGAAGTCAAGACAGGAACATATTCATACCAGTCGGACATCTTTTCGCTCGGTTTAATAATTTGGGAAGTTGTCGCCCTGATTAAACCGGAACAAAAACACAGTCTATTTGACAGGCTGGTTAATGACGGCGAGACAGAATTAGTCAAAGAAGATCACCCTCTAATTGGCTCACTGGCTAAGGAACTGGTTATAAACTCAACTAGAAAGAATCTTGAGCAAAGACACCACGCTTTGGGTAATGTCGGTAAAATTATCGAGAAGTTGGTGCAGGTGCAAACCCAAGAGAAAGTGTTAACCTGTCGAAATGGAGAAGATTTAGAGCTCTGCTTGCCATATGTTACCCCGGGCTCTACCATCATCCTGGGGGAAGGCACTTATCAAGGACAATTCAACCTTCGCGGAGATGGAATAAGTATCATTGGGAAAGGGGTTGATAAGACGCAGATTTTGTCATCTCCTGCTTTTCACATTTTTGGACAAGACTGCCTAATTTCGAATTTATCTCTGCTTGTGCCCACCTCCTCAACTGACGGATACAGTGGTTTTGCTATTCATGGGACTAGATGCAGATTAACCAAGATCAATGTTATCAACGCTAACTACGGGATTCATATGCATGCAAGTGATATCAAAATCGATACCGTAAAATTTATAAACAATTACAAATGGTGTATTACGATGACGGATACTACACGTTCCTGTACTATTTCTGATGTAACTTGTGAAAATATCCAAGATGGGATACACGTTGATGGAACGAATCATCACCTTCAAAAGATTAGAGTATCCTTTAGCCCAAACAAGAGATACAACGCATTATATGGCATTTACTTCGAAGGAGATAATCACACCCTTGAGGATTTCACTTGCACCGGAAATACGAATAATTCCAGGTGGGATTTGTATATACTATCTTCAAGTACCACTGTCAAAAATTCTACATGTTACAACGTTCTGGTCGACGGGGATGGTGCAAGGCTAAATAATGTTGAAAGCAGAAATTTAATTGGAATTAATGGAGATCTACAAAATGTTCAATTAGTAAAATGCAAGTCGAAAAATTTGGAGGCATCTGGTGCCGTTACGATGACAGGGTGTACCTTTGATAGTGTGAATAAACCGTCGAAATAAAAGAATTTGGCGAAGGGGTGAAACCAATCCATAATTGTTGAACATTTTCTACGAGATGTCGTTTTTACCCAAGTGGTATTTACACATGATTCTGGTGAAACTGATAAGTAATACCGTGAAGTAAGTATGTAACAGCTCGGAATTAAAATTTTCACCATATCGTACCAAGATTTTGACGGACCGGTGTAATTTTTGTACCAGGTGGTAGCAACATTAATACTGAGTCTGACTATTTATATGCACCAAATTTTTCATAGTGTAATGTTATTGCTGCAAGTGTTTACTGTTGTGCATAGTGATTAATGTTTAAATAATTAAGCAATAATTTCAGACTAGCTGCTTGTAAGGTGGATTCGAAGCCAGACTTTTGCAATATCCCTGTAAAAATACAATTATGTAAATCTTTAACATGTATTCTTTTTTTGTAACAGTTTCTCGCTGTACGAATATGTAAATAGTAAATAATCTAATACTGCCCCCACTCTGTCAAGTAAATAAATTACATGCTTTGATTGGTATCAGATTGATAGTTAGGTGGACATTCCAAAATCCTAACATCGATGCCACTTGGCATGCAGATTTTGTAGCATGAATGCAGGCATAAGAAGGCAAGCTAGTAAAAATTTTGGGTGGCCGATGCCACTTCCACTCAACCTTGGCCATTCTACAGGCCGTGTTAGAGTACACTCCTGCATCTTATTTCTCCACTGTCCCTCATGAAATATCTCCTCTCCTTAGGGCGGATTTGTCCTCTGACTCTCTTTAGAGAGTCGCCGATTCATCTAACTAGGAGATTGAGTATTGTTTTTCATGGAACGGCATCACCCCTCCGCAATTTGCATTTCATGAACAAAGACGAGCGAGCATGAAACTCATGACTTTTTTATCATCATCAGCTGAGAAACCGCGATGCAAAAGTGTTGAAATATTCTCTCGCAAAATAAATCAACAGAAAAATATATATATTTTCTGAAATTCTAAATTTTTTTGTATTATTTATCACAAAAATTCAATTGAGGATTTAATTATTAGCAAAGCACAATTACCGTGAATTTAAGGATCAATCTACGTATGTAAAAGTTTAGCTAACTTTATAAGCAATTCGCAAAATGTAAATACAAAATATGAAATATGTAAAACCCAGTAAACATGTCAATTTCGCGACGAGTTTGTTTATTTTGTCGTAAAAATAGCTGTCAATTTATTGACGAGTGCAATTGTTCGTCACGTTATGCTCCATTGTTTCTAACTTATCTCAAAACAATTAATGTCAATTGTTGTGCGGATAATAATTTTCCCCGTGAAGAATTTCATCCTTGTACCGAATGTGGTTCTCTACTTGGAATGATTACCGAACTTGTGCAAAAATTGGGACAAGAATTGCAAAAAATTTACAATGTGACGTTCGAAAATTTAAATGAGGACGTGGGACTTAGGATTAGCGAGGAGAGGAATGAACGCCTGGATAACTTAAGAAGACAAATTGTCGCAGGTGAGAAGTTTGAACTGGATTAATTAAAAACAAAATAAATGTAGATTTAATTGCGATGGGATTCCCAAAACTATGCAAACACAGTGGTCTTATTTTGGTTTGGCTTTGATCGACTCCGAAATAAGAACAATTTTCAGGTTGGATAAATTTACAAAACAAAATCCTGTAATTTTTGCAAACAATTTGCTGGGATGTCAAAACGTATGCTCAATTGGAAAAAGGGAAAGCTTTCATCAACACGAATGAATTAATAGTTTACTCGGATATTCGCAAATTTCGTACAATTTCCGTTCCACATATTTACAAAAAAAGGAACACAATACATAATTAATCTAATTGTAATTGCACAGATAAAATGGAAATTAAAGGTTTCGTGGCGGTCAGACTTAAGGAAGAAGAAGATGACCCTGACCTCAATCCCCCGTCTTACCTTAATGCCCCCTTTGACATTATCACCGCTGAGGACGAGGTCACCGTTAAAATGGAAATTGAAGAAGGCGAAGTCAAAGTTGAAATTGGGGACGAATTTATTTTGCCACATTTCGGTCAAGATTCGCTCGACGACCGTCTCATCGAGAGGAATTATCTTGTGGGGGAGGACGAAGTCGATCCCTTGGGACTCCGTCCCCCCAAACGGTTCCGATTGTCATCTGAAGAAGAACACCCACCATTTGGTGACATCTCAACAACTGAATTAAAGCCAGTTAACGAGGTAAATGTAATGTGCAAAATAATTGACAAATTAAAATCGGCATTTGGCTGACTTGAAACCTGCCAAGTTTGACCATGGTCACAATTAGCAGATAATTCCGAACATATTTAGTTATTTAATTTATAAATGCCTAAATGCATAAACAATATATTGAAATTTTGACTTTTTCAGGACTCGTCGCCAAATGAAATCGGACCGAAAAACGAGCCCCCCTTGGGGAACGAAACGCTCTATCCCGTGAACGTGACATCCGAGTTGAAATGTGACTATTGTAGCGTTACAACAGGTTCTTTGGCCTTTATGACGCGTCATTTACACAGTGAACATTTAGGTACTTGGTTATATTTATATATCAGATGATATCCAAGAAAGGCGTAAAACGAAACGAAGCCCTTGGCGAACTTTTTTTGCCCCAATTTCCCGGGATTTCTCCCGTTTCCCGCCAAAAAATCGAAACCACATAACTCACTAAGCAATCCCGGTGTTCATAAAGGTTTCTTAATTGTTCGTCCCATTTGTTTTTTACAGGGCTTATCTTCCCATGCCACCAACCCGGCTGCACTGCCCGGTTTGCGAATCGTGACCTCTTACGCTTACACAGATCGGGGAACCATTGTCTTATAAAGTGTGACAATTGCGAGCTCACTTTCACCTCGGCCGAATCCCTGACCCAGCACAAATTAGAGTTTCACCAAAAATGTGGAATCTGTGGGTTGGCATTTCTCCGATCCAATTTCCCTTACCACGTCGGGAAATGCCGAGAAGCTAACGAAAAAAGTGCTCAGAAAGCCGGAAGCATGGACCAGGAGTTGGCTCGCGTCACGAAGCACATCCCTCCGACAGGAGCGGTCACGTCTGACTGCGCGGAAGCCAGAGTACAGAATCGTCGCAATCATGAAGGCAGGGTTTTTGAAAAGATCTGATTTAAAAAACAGTTGCAAACTTTCGGGCTTTTATTAAATTACGTAACGCTTGAAGAGGGGGGAGGGGGTTTAGGCCCCAATGATATCGTGCCTATGATATGTACGCCATGTTAGAAGGGGGAGGGGAGGGGGTCTAGAAAATCAAGTTTTAGGGTTACGTAATTTAAGAACGGCCCCATATTGAAAAACAGAATTTGTACTCATCTCCAGAGTGTAGTGGGATCAATGTTTTTAAAATCGGATCCAATCCGACTTGGTAAATCGTAAATAATCCGACCCAGTCTGACGCTTTCGGGTTGGGATTGGATTAATCCGGTTAAGTCGGATATCCTACTACTTTCTGCTCAACTCAGACAAAATAAAAATAATCCCGATTAAATGAAGCTTGATAAACGATTCCCCTATGTTTTCATAGGTCGCCTCCTCTTCCAATGCCAACATTCAGGTTGCACTGCCCGGTTTGAGTCTCATGACCTTTTACGCTCTCATATCGCGGCGGGGAACCATCGAAAGTGCCCCCAGTGCTGCATCGCTTTCACCTCGGCCGAATTCCTGGACCAGCACAAAGTTAAATTTCACAAGACTTGCGGCATTTGTGGGGGCGACTTTCCAAAATCCAAGTTTCCTCACCACGTCCACAAATGCATGGAAATTAACGTCAAGAAAGCTGGATCCGGGGACCTCGAGTCGGCCACGAAACACGTCTCTAACAAGGGCGTCGTCACGTATGACTGTACCCGATGCAATGTCAGGAAGCTGCCGGAGTGGGATTTTTTGCTACATATTGGTTTCCAACATGAGGGTGGGTGGTTTTTGAAAATTGTTGATTTGTTCAAATGTACACGCTTAAAAATAATGGGACGCTGCCCTTTTCAAAATTATTTATATAAGTATCAGCCCTTTGAATTCGGTAGTAAGTATTTCACAAGGTAAAATTACCTGAAATTAAAATTACTTATTTAAAATTAATTAAAATTACACTCTGAAAAATATAATTTTATATTTTTAAGAGTGTGAAACATAACCAAGTTGCGACTTTATTTTTAAAAAATGAAGGCATAGTTTTATTAAATTCAAATAGCCGTACAAATTTTTCGATACGATTGTCCACTAATTTTTTGCTTGAATTCTTTAGAAACCTAGCGCTTTAAGTGTCCAAATGTCACGTGCGAAAGGGTCTTCTCGTCCAAAATGGCGCTGAGCGTTCATTGCCTGGAGATGCATACCATCCCCGGCGGGAAACTTTGCGAACGATGCGTGATCATCTTCCCTTCCCAGGAGGCACTAGATTACCACGTGCGGCAAGGGCACAAGCCTGTCGGACACGTGACTTCGAATTGCAGTGAAATTGGAAATTGGACTACGGAAAAAATTGGATGAAAATGATACAAATTTAGAGCCTCTTCCGATTCACAAGTGTAAATTCTGTGGTAAAAATTTGTTGGGAACTTCGTACGTGGTTTCCGAACACACGAAATCAGGTGTCGACCTGAGGTGGAATCGTGGGGGAAATAAATTAATGAGGGGTGTTCAGCAGATAAATAATTTTACAGGGAGTGACGACGCCTTTGATAATATGTGTATTTTCATAAATATTTTTGAAGAAGAGTTATGTATAAAGGTTTTTTGCCATGAAAATTTTGCTGTTGCTCGGATCATTTTAAACTTTTGCCCTGGAGATGTGAAATTTTGCATGTACATAGACTTAAGGCGAAATTAGAAATATGTAGGCTTAAAAAATCTAACTCAACCTCAATTGGAACCCTTTAACAGACCGTTGTTATCAGCTTAATCCGTAATATTTATAATTGAAGGGGTCTTATTTATTATGAGTGAGGTAATGTATTCGCAGAGTTTTAGAACTATGTACGTATGCATAATTAAAAGGTTAGTTCCTACGCATTATATGTCTCGATATCATGTAGCAGCACTTCGTACTAAGTTTGAGTATTCATTAAATTAAAATATCTTAATTTCATGAAAATAATAAAACCACACGCTCATAATTTGCACATATGCTATTCGTAGTTTGAATTTAAGCACAATATATGTCTCTAGAATTGTACGTCTATTTGTATATCCTAACTCAAATATTAGTACAAAAACGCACATTCCACTGGCAGTTGCCCACGTTGCTGTAAACTTTTCCAAATGTTGCATTTTAACACATTCAGTACATCCCACCAGAGTGGTTCGATTTTTCATGATTTGCACATGTCGGTTCTTCCAGAATAAGCCCTGCCATAAGATGGAAAATCCAGCCTCCCTAAATGCGGTATGCAGTCGATAAGCTTCTTTCAAAAATGGGACCCGAAAAAAGTTGTAAGACGTGTACATCTGCTCCAAAATAAAAACGCTGCATGGATAAGGGTCACTTGTGCCAGATTTCTCATACGAAAATTTAAATATGTCAATGATATCCGATAGCACATATCTTAAAACTCCTAGTTTCTTTTTTTTACGTTTCAAGACTTCAATTATATAGCTAAGTTCAAAGTTTGTTCTGGATATGATTTCAACTCTTTTTTCCTACTTATCGGTAACTAGCGTATAAGCCCGTCTCCCGCCGGGCAACAGTATATTTAATTTTCAAAATTCCACCAATTAATTTTTTTAAATATTAACTGCAACTCTTTGTCGCCTGTGGAAGTGAAAGGAATTTGAGACGAACGTTAAAGTGAAAAAAATCAAGATTCCCCTCGTCTGCGATCGTGTACTACTCACTACCTAGCTCTTGGTTATTATGGAATATATGATCGCAGGATATTTTCGCGCGAAAATCACGTGCCCACTTGATTACATTGGGCGGGATGAAATTCAATTTAAATCTGCGATCAGTTATTCCTTACTAAACTATTCAATTCTGGTGATTGCAGCGGGAAAGTCACGTGCCCATGTTAAGTAACTGGGCATGTGGCTTTCCCGCTGCAATTACCAGAATTGAAACAGAGTTTACTCAATATTAGCGATTGGGCTGGGCTGAAGCCTTGCATGACTCGTGATCCGATCCCTCAATATACAACCCGAATATCTAAGAGTCCTAATTCCAATATCCCAGTATCCTTAGATCCTAAAAGAGTTGAACCACGGAAGTACCCCAGTATTTTAAGATCGGATAATATATTCGAATACCGGGACATGGGACGGGATATTGAAATATTGGTCGGGATATTAGGATATCGAGTTGGGAGGCTTACCTAACCTAGTTAACCACAATGCCCAGATAACAACCACCCCCATATCCCAATATCCTGGTACAATATCTCGGTATCTTGATACCCTTGATATGATACTGGGATATTGGTCGAGATATCAAGATATTGGGATATCGAGGTATGGGGGCTTACCAAATCCAGTTAACCACCACTGCCATATCTCAATATCCCGGCTGATATTCCGATATCCTAATACAGCGATATCCCAACCCATATCACGATATCCGAATATCCCTACCGATATCCCAATATCCCGATATCCCAATATCCCTACCGATATCCCGATATCCCAATATCCCAATATCCCTACCGATATCCCGATATCCCAATATCCCAATATCCCTACCGATATCCCAATATCCCGATATCCCAATATCCCTACCGATATCCCGATATCCCAATATCCCAATATCCCTACCGATATCCCGATATCCCAATATCCCAATATCCCTACCGATATCCCAATATCCCGATATCCCAATATCCCTACCGATATCCCGATATCCCAATATCCCAATATCCCTACCGATATCCCGATATCCCAATATCCCAATATCCCTACCGATATCCCAATATCCCGATATCCCAATATCCCTACCGATATCCCGATATCCCAATATCCCAATATCCCTACCGATATCCCGATATCCCAATATCCCAATATCCCTACCGATATCCCAATATCCCGATATCCCAATATCCCTACCGATATCCCGATATCCCAATATCCCAATATCCCTACCGATATCCCGATATCCCAATATCCCAATATCCCTACCGATATCCCAATATCCCGATATCCCAATATCCCTACCGATATCCCGATATCCCAATATCCCAATATCCCTACCGATATCCCAATATCCCGATATCCCAATATCCCTACCGATATCCCGATATCCCGATATCCCAATATCCCAATATCCCGATATCCCTACCGATATCCCGCTGCCGGGATATTGGGCTAACGGGATATTGGGATATCGGGATATTGGGATATCGGTAGGGATATTGGGATATTGGGATGTCGGGATATCGGTAGGGATATTGGGATATCGGGATATTGGGATATCGGGATATTGGATATCGGTAGGGATATTGGGATATTGGGATATCGGTCGGGATATTGGGGGCTTATCCAGATAACCACCACCCCCAGATAACCACCACCCCTAGATAATCACTACCCCCAGATAATCACTACCCCCAGATAACCACCACCTCCAGATAACCACCACCCCTAGATAATCACTACCCCCAGATAACCACCACTCCTATATAACCACCACCCCTAGATAATCACCACCCCTAGATAATCACTACCCCCAGATAACCACTACCCCTAGATATTCACCACCCCCAGATAACCACCACACCCAGATAACCACAACCCCTAGATAATCACTACCCCGAGATAACCACCACCCCCAGATAATCAAACGGCACGCCCAAGACTTTCCTTGCTTTTACTTCCGTCACAGACAAATTTACTTTCACTTCCGTTACCAACAGACATTCTCGCTTATAATATAGATATTGAATTTCACAAACTCGTATTGTAATATCTTTTCGTATGCATAGGATGTCAAACTCGATACAATTATTTTATCGAACTCGGTTAAAAATTCGGCGACATTATGATATTCTGGGGGTTTTGATGGCGCTATTACGTTTCTAACAACAAGGGATTCGTAGACGACGGGAATAATGATGAAGGATAGAATTGTCAAGGTGTGAAGAACGGTAAAACGTTTTACAGGCTGACGCAGCACGTGAGAAAAAAGAAAGTACATCTCGAACAGTACTAATTTTACGTCCTAATTACGTGCAATTTTTCGAATGGAGGCTGCCGAAAGTAGAGCTAAGATAGTTATCCAAACCGACCAATTAAATGGAGTCAACCATACGGTCCAAGTATTTGGGAATAAATTATGCTCTCTGCAGTATAGTACGATTGGGACTTTTTCCTGCGAATGAGTCAAGGACTGAATCTCTGCTACATGGTACTCATCAATCATTACATTATTTAGATTAATGTACACTGCAGGAGCATCTTTATAATTGCCATCAATCCAATGGGCGATAGCTGTAAAATTAAGGCGAGATGCCATAACTTCCAATTCGTAAGCGTAGCTCACACACATTTCTACACCCATTGTCCTAAATTTTAGGTTATGGAGACAATTTCCTTGCCAATCGTCGTCTAGCAATGGAACATCGAAACCGTTGTGATTGTAGATACCGTTAGGATGTTTTAGTCTGGAGTACATGTGAATGTCTATATCATGTCCAGAATCGCTGTACAGATTGCTTCCTGGATCATAATTAATTATCCTCCTATCCCATCGTACAATATGAAATCGGCAGGGAAGTATTCTCCAAAATATGTAATATTGATCCAAGTCTGTCTTCAACCAGAACACAAATATAGCGTCAGGTCTACTCAAGTAATAGTAAAAGAGGTAAAAATCTTTCCAGTCATAATGTGGGTACACTGGGTAGTAAACGGGCTGATGAATGTGAATTACAACACATGACGACGACAGTTTAGGTATTTTGGGTTGAATTATCAAGTCACCCCAATGACGTTGTGTCAACAATCTTTCAGAAGGCGCGAAACCATTAGTTTGTGTCCAGGTGAATAATATTGAAAACGAGTAGTTTAGCTCGCATCTGCGAACCACTTTTATAAGCCCGTCGGCCAATCTTAACTTGCCCCCAATCTTGCGGGAGTCAAAAAAGCAGATACACACATCAAGTGGCTATTCTTTAGCTGATTTATCGATTTGATGGGTGTGGAAACTGTAAAGTTTTATAACCTGTGGATCTTCATCAGTCCATTTGTGATATAAGTGACAGTCCAGAAGGTTTGACAGGCTGAAACTATTGGTCAAAATGTACATGAAATAGTAGAGAAGGAATAATTCCATTTTTAATTATGTAAAAGACAGAGTCGACAATGATTTTCAACTATCCTGAAAACTAGGAAACTTACTACTTATAAAATGAAGACCCCCCAACAGCTTGCGTGCTATATACCACGGGTAGTAATCACGTTAATAGATATCGTGAAATCGACGGTCAGTTAATTAGCGAATTACATTGTAGCCACTTTACGTAAGGTTGGGGACCGGTGGAATAAAAGGCTTTCTGCTGAGAATGCTATATATATATATATATAAATATAAAAGCAACCTTTAAATAATTAATTCGTCCCATAACCTACATTACCTAAATATTTATTCCATACTGATATTTTGCTAACGCTAAAATATTCACAGTTCTAGCACTAATGAGTAAAAAGTAGAAATTACGAAATGTGGAAAACATGATCTCGCAGACCATGAAAGACATTTTCAGCCAAATAAATACACCGAAAATAAATATATCAAAGCTATCGTTTCCTGTTAGAAATGGTTGATCGACTGTCAATAATTTCAGAGTTTTATATCCATTCACTCACTCCAGTGTTCACAACCTAAAATTGAGTGTACCTGTATGTCTATGTTACGTTTACGAATTGGAAATTATGGCATCTCGTTTAAATTTTACGGTTATTGTTAAAGAGTTTGTCGAAATTTGGACGATGCCCCTATAATACACATTAAGCCAAATCCTGTGCTGATTGGGGACTATTCTGTAGATTAGATTCAATCCGTGGCTTATTCCGAAGAAAGAGTTCCAATTGTACTATTATACCGTAGAAAACATGATATATTTCCAAACACTTGGAGAATATGGTTGATTCCATTTACTTGCACGGTGTGGGTTGGGTGACTATGGTGGTACTCCTTTCGGCGG